AACGAGAAAAGATGTAGTTTTAACGAGAAAAGATGTCGTTAAAACGAGAAAATATGTAGTTTTAACGAGAAAAGATGTCATTAAAACGAGAAAAGATGTAGTTTTAACGAGAAAAGATGTCGTTAAAACGAGAAAATATGTAGTTTTAACGAGAAAAGATGTCGTTAAAACGAGAAAAGATATTGTTTTAACGAGAAAAGATATAGTTTTAACGAGAAAAGATGTCCTTAAAACGAGAAAAGATGTCGTTTTAACGAGAAAACATCTCGTTATTACGAGAAAAGATGTCGTTAAAATGAGAAAAGATGTAGTTTTAACGAGAAAATATGTCGTTAAAACAAGAAAAGATATCGTTTTAACGAGAAAAGATGTCGTTAAAACGACATATCTGTTATTACGACACAATTGAGTGGAAAAAAAATATGTGTGTGGCAGCAATGAGTCACCGTAGTTTTTTAGCATGTGTTTGGCAGTGTTATTTTTTAGGATTAAGTCAAGTCAAGTCACCTTAATTTATATAGCGCTTTTAACAATACAGATTGTGTCAAAGCAGCTGTACAGCATTAGTTAGGAAAATAGTGTGTCAATAATGCAGAAGGACAATAGTAAACACTAATTTTTCAAATATTACAAAATGAAAAGTACAATAAAATCTCAATGATACATGATGGAAAAAATGCACTAATTCTAATGGACTAATTCGGACAACAAGAAATCATGACTTTCAGCTATTTAAGACACTTTTTGCAAAAAATATTATATCGTTATGGACTGTAACCTCTTGTAATTCATAACAATGAGTAACACAGTATTAAAATAATAAAAAATATAACCATTTGAAAAAAGCAGAAAAAAAAAAAGACTTCTGACACCAAATGTACCTGCAATTATAGAATCACTCATATGACTAGTGCTTGCCGTAGCAGTTTGCGGCGTGTTAGAAACCCTCCACCTTCCCCAGCTCCACCTGTATAGATCTGCTACGAGGTGATTCATGTATGCTATGGGGGTTATTCATGTTATATGTGCAGCAGCAGTATTTCTTACATGCTCACAGCAGCATGTTGTGGATGTATTGGCAGTAGCAAGTCTCGGTACTTGCTCTGCCGCAGCAGCAGCAGCAGCGCAGCAGATCTATTCCGCCAAGACCAAATACATTAGCATTGTCATGTATATTACAAGGTGCGGCACTGTGCCATCACAATTAGTATCTATATTGGTGGCCTGCAAATTGTCTGTGGGCCAAAAACAATCATCTTGGTTTTGTCTTCATCTAACGATATTTATTTATATATTTTACATTAATAGAGATTTTATTCCCGAAGGATCGTTTCTTTCGATCTGCAAATAGATTTGGGTATCATCAGCGCAAACTCTGGAACTAGAAACAAAATCCTACTGTAAATCCCAAAAATACAAAATATATCTCGGATTTAATTTGTCTAAAAATATTTTCAACCATTTTTAATTTTCTGAAAACCCTACTTCTCCTGGAGGCCCACCTTCCAGCAGAGTTTCGGTCTAGCTCTAAACACCTGAACCAGCTATAATCAAGGTCTTCAGAATCACTGGAAATCTCCAGGCATGTGTTGGAGCTAAACTCTGCAGGAAAGTGGTTTTCCAAAAACAGGATTGGAAACCTCTGTCCCAGATCTTTTTTCCAATCTTCAAATTTTGTACATAGTAAGTACCAGCAAAAAAGCTATCAAAAGAATTGTGAAGAATGTTGAAGAGTTGCAAAGCTATTAGCAAATAAAAATTTCTGGTGTTGTTCATTTTTTACGACTTGACATATAACACCCGTAATGCAAAAAGTAACATCCAAATTTACTGAAACTTGAGATAGATCTCAGAAAACATCAAAAGTCCCCCCCAAAAAACTGTACCTACAGGGGGCGCTACAAGTGAAATGAATAACACCGAGTTATTTTAAACTGTAATTTTTCTTAATAATACTGTTTTTACAATCTAACAAATGCAGCCCTGGTGAGCATAAGAGACTTCATCAAAAACATTAAAACATAAAGATTCCAAACTTCAAAATGATAGCATTTGACTTCAGTGGTTTTGTCTGTACATTTGTACTTGTGACAAACGGGTGCAAAAATGACTAAACGCATGGAAAGATTGAGTCCAGCATTTATCTGTTTATTTTCTTATTTTATATGTATTTAATTATATTATATATTCATATATAGAAATCTAGCTATCTTACAATGCTTTCACAGAAGAAAACTGACAGACTGGATTATGGCAACACAACAATGACACTGAGTGAGCCACAGGCTGAACAATGAGAGCAGAACACCAACACCAAACAAAGATACGTCTTTTCTTCACTATTCATCTACAGCAGCTTTGATATCAAAACCGACCCGAGAAGAGTTCAAATGCCCAGAGCTGCCAGGGTGATGAGAGGCATTGCCGGTGTTACCATTTCCTGTTTCCTGTTTCCTCTTCCTGTCTGGTCCAGCCGAGTTATTTTAAACTGTAATTTTTCTTAATAATACTGTTTTTACAATCTAACAAATGCAGCCCTGGTGAGCATAAGAGACTTCATCAAAAACATTAAAACATAAAGATTCCAAACTTCAAAATGATAGCATTTGACTTCAGTGGTTTTGTCTGTACATTTGTACTTGTGACAAACGGGTGCAAAAATGACTAAACGCATGGAAAGATTGAGTCCAGCATTTATCTGTTTATTTTCTTATTTTATATGTATTTAATTATATTATATATTCATATATAGAAATCTAGCTATCTTACAATGCTTTCACAGAAGAAAACTGACAGACTGGATTATGGCAACACAACAATGACACTGAGTGAGCCACAGGCTGAACAATGAGAGCAGAACACCAACACCAAACAAAGATACGTCTTTTCTTCACTATTCATCTACAGCAGCTTTGATATCAAAACCGACCCGAGAAGAGTTCAAATGCCCAGAGCTGCCAGGGTGATGAGAGGCATTGCCGGTGTTACCATTTCCTGTTTCCTGTTTCCTCTTCCTGTCTGGTCCAGCGGTGCTTGCGGATGTACACTATTTTTTCAGTGGTTTTGTCTGTACATTTGTACTTGTGACAAACGGGTGCAAAAATGACTAAACGCATGGAAAGATTGAGTCCAGCATTTATCTGTTTATTTTCTTATTTTATATGTATTTAATTATATTATATATTCATATATAGAAATCTAGCTATCTTACAATGCTTTCACAGAAGAAAACTGACAGACTGGATTATGGCAACACAACAATGACACTGAGTGAGCCACAGGCTGAACAATGAGAGCAGAACACCAACACCAAACAAAGATACGTCTTTTCTTCACTATTCATCTACAGCAGCTTTGATATCAAAACCGACCCGAGAAGAGTTCAGATGCCCAGAGCTGCCAGGGTGATGAGAGGCATTGCCGGTGTTACCATTTCCTGTTTCCTGTTTCCTCTTCCTGTCTGGTCCAGCGGTGCTTGAGTATGCACACTATTTGCTTACTGCAGCTGAACACAGACGCAATAATTCTACAAGAACTTTCACTGAACAGACTTACCCAAAAGCAAAAACAATGATGATAGTCAGATAGATGCATGAAATCAGTTAGGGTGTGGCCTCAGCTATACATGCAGACATTATGACTTCACCGTGGATGGCTTTGAGTCCCATCAGCACCGGGGAGAAGCATGCACAATTCTTACAGTGATAAAACGCGTTATGTCCAACTCCTCTTTTGTCATTTAGCATCATCAAACACTGTGTCATTACTAAAAGCCCTACGAATCAGGACATATACACAGATGCACCACTACGCAGATCTAAAATCAGAAACATACTCTATTCAAGAATGCAAATGCTTGGCCAAGCCTGCGGTCTGATTGAATCTTGACGGTAACTAGCACTCTAGCGGGCAACAGTCGACTTCAAATGTCTGTGCTAATGAACCAAGTAGCTAGCTAGCTATAAATGTGTCAACAGCTGAACTAGCTTCAAATTGCTCGGCAAGATTCTCTTCAAACTGTTGCTCCATCATTGCGGTAGTCGACCTGGAAGAGAAAACTGACTGTAAAAAGACAGTGTGTCAGTGTCCACTGCATACAGCATCAGCGTGCCATGCGCGGTTTAACGCATTTTGTAACGCAGCCATCCACTGCATCAAGAAGCATTTGTGTTCACATGCTTACATAATGTTTCAGGCCTAAGAGTGGCTTCCTCTGCATTTAACTACAGATTTTAAGACAGAAAACTAACTATAAAAATACATCTACTCATTAAACATTCCTGTGTCTTTCTGCCAAAAAAGCTCAGATTAGCAGCTCGTTCCACATTCTTCCATTTCTTAGTTGGCGCTTTTTGCTGTTTCTTCTCTCCGAATTAGAAAGGATGCCAAACTGTGCTCTGTGTACTTCTTTTCTCGTTTGTTTGTGGGAACATCCCTTCATAATCTCCCCTTAGCAACACACAGCATTCATACGGGCCACAAGATATACCTCACTTCCTCTTCTCTGAAAGTATTAAAAGACCAACAAGGAACAATCACAAAACCAGTGAACGCGTCACTTATTGCACAGGCAGATTCATAAATCTAGAAACAAATTCAAGGTGCCTCTGTGCGCACACAAACCGCGTAATCGTACAAACTCTCGTAAGCATCTACAACGAAACCCCTCCAGTTTGTGTCAGCGAGTTGTGTGCGTTAGCATGAGCAGAGGCGCTTTACAGTACAATGACTTCTTAAGTATCTTCTACTTCTTAAGAACAAAGTATTCTTAAGTAACCCTTAAAGATGGGTGCTCAGGGGTGGACCTTGAAGGCCAAGAGCTGCTCAGAGTGCATGTTGTTGAGCGAGCGCAGGTCCGGCAGCTTGAGGAGCAGTTTAGTGAAGATGGCGATCTCGTTGGGGTGGTTCTTGGTGATCAAGCTGCGCAGCGCTCGAATCAGAGTTTCCTGAAGGGCCTCGACAGAGTAGATGTTCTCGAGCCCGGAGCGATCTATGGGGAACACAATTCATTTAACACAGTAAGTCAAGGCATCCTCTCAGATTAGGGCTGGGCGAGATGGCAAAAAATTGACCGTTGGCCGATTTTTTACGATTTTTAACTAGTCAAATTGAAAATGTAACAACAACATGATTCAAGTAACTTTTTCTTTATTAACCCTCTAGTTAAAGAAAGTGCACCACACATGAACTTGTCTACGTAAACAAATCATTTGTTAAATATCTTTGCAGAAAAGATGCATGAACTACAACTACATCTTGTACAAACTTGTCTTATACATATTATATGTTCAGAAATAATACGAGGAAAATGCTTTAAAAATTCTCAAAAGTCGAGGTAATTCAAATTCTAAATGACTGAAGGTATAACACCAGTAGACTATTATGAACTATAAAGCCCCGTCCACACCAAGCACGATAACTATAAAGATAACGATAAACATATAGTTCTAAAAATCGTTCTCAATATTAAAGAATAGCAGAGTCCACACCACAACTATAACGATAAAGGCACAGAGAAACGATATCGTTGGAATCACTTTCAAAACTTAGATTTTTCTCCAGCTGATGAACGATAAAAAAATTGACAGCCAATCAGAATCCATCCTGCTGTAACGAGCTTGAGAATTTAAAGCGACAGACGAGCGGGCGCTTAGAATAAACAGACGATATCGTTCGCTGGTATGGACGCTAATATCGTTATCTTTATAGTTATCGTCCTTGGTGTGAACGGGGCTTAAATGTTCTGTAAAAACAACAGCAGCTTCCAACCTGTCACCATGATGCAAACATGAAATATCAGACATACAGTAGTAGTTCTTCACAGGTTTTTTATTCGATTGCGCTGCTAGTTTTTTCTGTGTAAACATGGACGTGTTTGACTCTTGCGCTCGCGTCTCTTGTAGCGTCTCATGCATGAAACGGCAGTCTAAAAACACTGCGCTCAAGTTAAAGAAGTTCACTCTCATCTTCTTGCAGGTTTTTCCTATTCCACTGCCGCGTCGCATCTTTATCAACACAAAAGTGCAGAATGAGTGTGATATGAGCGTGAGCAGTTAATCACGTGCACCGACATGCGGCTGGATTGTTCTTTTCTCTTTACTGTTATCATTGGCATAGTTAAAGTGTCTAATTCTAACGTTTGGTAAAATTTCTATTCAAAATTCAAATCGTGGCAAAACATTAAATTCAAATTAATCAATAAAAATCTGAAAAATGGCCCAGCCCTATCTCAGATACAGAACTACGGTCTCATAATGGTATGGCAGTTAATACCTGCAGACACCAGCACTACAGCTGTGAAGAGGCTCATCTCCTCCTCACTGAGGTTCAGCGCTTGCAGCTTCTCGGTGAAGTCAAACATTGAGTTGAGGAGATCTCCAGCACCCATCGAGCGCAGCGCCTCCACGCTGTACTTCCGGCCGCTCAGAAATGTGACCGTGCGCTCCTTCACATTGAACAGGGATGTAAAGCGCACCACCAGCACCTACAGGCCAAACAAGAAACCAAACTAACTGAATTCTATTCGGTCAATTCACAGGACTCTCAATGATTTTAGTCAGTTTCATTCAGTGTAGGGCCAGAAATTAACTGTTCCATTAAGGGGCAATATTTGCCCGCTGGAATTGATTTTAAGGGGCATTTTTTTACATTCATGAGGGCAGTTTTTAAAATCACCCTATTATTATAATCGCCATGTTGTCTATAATGTCAAATACTTAAATTTACCCAATTACTTTAATCAATATTTTAAACAGTTGTCAATAACAATAGATAGGCTACAATTTAAAAAAAATCTAACTTATATACGTAAAAAGCAGGAGCTCATATGACAAAAATCACTATTGTAGATTATTGCTCTTTATATTGTAATAATGATTATTAATATTATCGATACAGAAAACAATATAAAAACATTTTTGTTTCGTATCTGTGTTTTGGGCACGCCACATTCTGGCTTCACAGACAAACATGTCGGCCCGTGACATTAGTCTAGTCTAGCACAAGTTATGCAAAAACTCCCGTTATAGTCACTGAATTTACGAAATTAATCTTTGGATATTTATGTATCTGCACTGTGTTGTTTATGATGAGGGAATTCGCGAGCATGCGCACAACACAGCTCCGGCGTTTCAACAGAACAAGTCCAACAGAAACGCGTGTGGTTGGTTATAAGGCTCAAAGCTGCACAAAACAGCACGTAAAAACAATCTGATGCAGTGTGAGTGGATCTAAATATAATTCCACGAATTTACACTTTGTATTCATTTTCACATTTCATTTTAATTGCAACAGCCTTAATACATTGTTTAATAGTGCTGGGACATTTTTTGCCCCTTCGTCTTGAATTTATGGGGCATTTTTGTTCATGCTGGTGGCATTTTTGCCACAAGTCCTCGTTAAAGTCTGACCCTGGTGTGGAGACTGTGTTGTATTTTGTTCATACCTCGAAGGTGCCGGCCTTCAGCAGGCTGACCTGGTCGTGCTGGGACAGCTCTTTGAATCCTGGGATGCGCTTTGCAAATTCCACCACCTCTCTGACGGCTGGGGTGAAGCTCATGGAGAACTCCTCCCAAATACTGTGACCCGACTTCTGAGGATCCACATAGGGCGATGTGTTCATGGGGCAAACCTGTGAATGAGAATCATGAGTACTTGTATAGACTCCCACTGACATTTCGGTATGGGTTCTCTGTGTAACTCACCAGGTGCATCCTGTTAACCCTTGCAAATGTTGGGACACTACAGCTGCCGTTGAAACGTGTTTCATTGTCATTATGAGCTCTCAGAGAGAGGTTCTGCAGAGACGGTCCAGCGGAGCTGCTGTTGGGCAGTCTGACAGGACAGCCCGAGTCTTCAGGCCCCTGAGGAGCACAGCCTGATGGGGGCGTTTGTTCACTCTCTGAGGATGCATTGCTCTGCTGCTTCCAGACCGCCTGAGTCTTCTCTGAGTAATGGCTGTAGTTGTTAGGGGCCTCTGAAGGCACGCTGCCCTGCTCCTGATTGTACATGAAGGTCTTCTGATGCGCTCTAGTGACTGTGCCGATGACCTCCTCCTCCCCGCTGTCAGTGGCGCTGGAGGAGTCTGAGCTGGTGCTTGTATCCATGGCGCTCAGCAGCTTGGGGTCGGGGCTGGATTCGGACCGGTGGCTCCTGGGGGAGGTGGAGGGGGAGCGGGAAGAAGGGCCGGAGCCGCTGTGCTCTGAAGCTGCTTCGCTGGCTGATGGCTGGCTGCCGTGGCTGTTGTTCATCATGTTGTTCATGGCATTCTGCATCTCAAGCAGCATGCGCTGCTTCTCTCGTTTGGGAATCCGTCCGAAACGCACAGCTGAGGAGCACAGACACGGTCAGGCTCCAACAGACTGAAACTTCTTGTCTGTCTTTCTATCTATCGTCTGTCTGTCTATCTTCTGTCTATCTTTTGTCTGTCTGTCTTCTGTCTGTCTATCTATCGTCTGTCTATCGTCTGTCTGTCTATCTTCTGTCTATCTGTCAGTCTGTCTGTCTATCATCTGTCTATCTATCTTCTGTCTGTCTATCTGTCGTCTGTCTGTCGTCTGTCTGTCTATCTGTCTGTCTGTCTGTCTATCATCTGTCTGTCTGTCTGTCTATCTATCTTCTGTCTGTCTGTCTATCTATCTTCTGTCTGTCTGTCTATCGTCTGTCTGTCAATCTATCGTCTGTCTGTCTGTCTGTCTATCTATCTATCTATCTATCATCTTATACATGTATCTGGCTCAAATGTTCATGCAAGATAACAGGCTTTATTTATTATTTTTTGGATCTGGGACACAATGCCAGCTGGAGCTCACCGTCTCTGGACATGCCCACGAGCAGACACTTCTTAAAGCGGCACTGTCTATCTATATTCTGTCTGTCTGCATGTCTATCTATATTATGTCTGTCTGTCTATCTATCGTCTGTCTATCTATATTCTGTCTGTCTGTCTATCTGCGTGACGGGACAGCTTTCGTTCTTAAGGCACTTCTTATACTGAATGTTCTGCTGAATGCTCCTCCTGAAGAAACCCTGCAGGTGGAAAAGTGAAAGAGACAGAGAGCGGTGTCAGGGTCACAGAGCCCACACCGAGAGTAACAGGTGTCGAGCCTCGGGTCGGTATGGAGAGCAGGTGTCCCGCTCAGGACTCAAGACACCCTTCTGTCATGGAGCTTTGCTCTGATAGTTAAACAGGCTGCTGGCTAGGAGACTTTTTAGTTATAAATAAAGCAAAGTGACATGTCCCTTCAGGACGATGCACAGGTAGATGTGACCTAGATGTGGCATGACAGCCATGTCACATTGGCCCCATTTAATTCAACAACAGTGACACCAGTGACAGTTTAACACAGAAACAGACACTATAAAAGTGCAATACGACCTTCACTGGGAAGTAAAGAAACCCCGAGCATACATGAGAGTGAAAAATACAAACTTTCAGACCACTTTCTGAGCTTTTGACTTACTTCTCTGTACCTCAGAAATAACAAAATGAAACCTCTAATTCTTATCATGAAATACTGAAATGTGGCTGCCGGCTCACACTAACACTTGACGTTTTCTCACCTTGCATCCCTCACAGGCGTGAACGCCATAGTGAAATCCTGACGCAACATCTCCACACACTTTACATAGCAGCACCAGCCCGTTAATCTCTGCAGGAGCAGAAATACAGAGGGTCAGATGAACAAGGAATGCTCTGCGCTCAGTTCGGCTTTCTCCTCAGCTGCCTTCTGTTTCCTCAAACAGCTAGAAAACCATTACTACATGATCAAGCACACATGGACAAATATCTTGCAGTGTTAACAAAAACTTCGCCTCATTACTATCAACATCATCACATTATTTTTATTATTCTGACCAATCTACAATCTGTTCCATTTTGAACTCCCTGACATATCAAACTGCATTATTTCTATTAAAAAAAAAAAAACAATAGGGGATGTAAATACATGTACATCAGGAAACATGAGAAAGCATATTTTATATACTACCAGTCAAAAGTTTTTTTTTAAGTTTTTTAAAAATAATTCTCTTCTCAACGAGCCTGCATTTATTTATTTGATGAAGTACAGCAAAAGCAGTAAAATTTTGAAATATTTTTACTATTCAAAATAACTGTTTTCTATTTGAATATCTTTCAAAATGTAATTTACTGAACTGTGATTTCAATGCTGAATTTTTTGCATCATTACTCGGGGCTCCAGACTAACTATTTTTACTAGGAGCACTGCAGCCCCTGACTGAAAATGTTTAGGAGCACAAGCAGAAAATTTAGGGGCACACCTTAAATCAGCCTGCAATGCAATCATTCACATACTTTCCCCATTTTAACTGTATTACTGACAAATGCTTTGATAAGAAATAGACTTAACTCATAGAAATTACAACGTGCAGTATTCTTTTAATTTCAGAGAGATATGGAAAAAATATATATGATTTGAAAAAAATACTATTGTTTTGTATTAATAAGTGCAGTTACTAATAATATTACATGTTCATATCTTGTTTATTTTATGTTTATACACATTTGACTGTTTGTTTTCAAAGCATTTTGTGATTTTTCTTACTTCATACAGCAAAACCTCTGTCAAAATCTGACTTCTTGATGATTTAATATTTGATAATAGCCTAGTGATTTTATAATTGTTATTTTATAATTTCAAAATATAAAGGAAAAAGTATAAATTAATGAGTAAGCCAATAAGTGCTCCTCTGCTGCCATCTACAGGTTATAATGGTGATTTGATGTATTTTTTTTTATTTTACATAAGCGTTTGTTCACCACAGTATATTTTGTTCATCCCATTAAAAATAACATTCAAATTGGATCATTTTGGAGCTTTAAAGTGCTGGCAACAGTTGTGTGAAATGCTTGTAAGTCATTGAAAATTGCTTGAATTTCTCTCTCAAAAGGCTGTACAAACCCTGAAATGTAGTAAACTGTTGTAAATATTGATAATAACAATAAATGTTTCCTGAGCAGCAAATCAGCATATTAGAATTATTTCTGAAAGATCATGTGACACTGAAGACTGGAGTAATGATGCTGAAAATTCAGCTTTGATCACAGAAATAAATTACATTTTACAATATATTCAAATAGAAAGCAGTTATTTTAAATAGTAAAAATATTTCACAATATTACTGCTTTTCCTGTATTTTGGATCAAATAAATGCAAGCTTGGTGAGCAGAAGAGAATTCTATAAAAACATTAAAAATATTACTGTTAAAAACTGGTAGTGTATATAATAATAATACTAATTATACGACATACTAATTATATACTAATTTACATTATGACAACATATATGTGAAAACGAGTAATATATATTCAAATAGTTCCATAAGATATGTCATATGTGTAGGTGATCAGTTGCAGAATGAAACACTCCACAGATGTCTTTATTTTGACTCAGATCAGTCTCTCACTTGTAATGCCGCTTTTGGCTGCGGAGGGCGACCGTGTCTTCCGTGGGCGGGACTGAGGGGCCACAGCGAGGGTCTCGCCCTGCTGGCCCTGCCCCGCGTGGGGTGGAGAGCAGGACTGATAGCTGCTGCTGGAGGAGTCGCTGTGGCACGACTCGGGACTGGAGGCCGAGCTCGCGGAGCTAATGTAAGCTATCACTCCACCTGCTGGATGACACACAGAAGAGCAACTCATTATTTTCCAAATCAGGTGGATCCTAATATGCAGATATAAATTCTAAAGCATATGAGAATGAGACATGGCCTAGAGGTTGATTCCAGCTTTTTCATGCATCTGCTGACAATTGTCTTTATCATTAATAATAGAAAACAAATATATAAACAGTAAATGCAGTCCATATAGGTGGATATTTACTGATGAAATTACAAAGGTTTTCTTTGCCCCCGTGTCTTATTTCAAGCAGCAGCCGGTCTTATTGTCAGAAAGTGGACCAGGCTGTATGTGCTCTGTCTGTACGGGTTGACCTGATTTCTGCTGCCCTACTCTCAATGGTTAGGTAACACCGTTACATAATACCTCTTTCAGGGTGTAGCCCTTACCAGCAAACAATACGACTCTAATGCAATACTGAAAACCAACAAACAGCTTTTTTTCGAACATTAATGTGCCATATATATATATATATGTGTGTATGTTGATTGGGACACTTTTTCCAATTCATCTCAATGGCAAAAAGTGTCCCAATCACCCTGAATTCACCCCTATATACCCGTGTAATATTTGATTTTTAAATATGGCATTATTCTTTACAAAGAAAAAAAAACGTCGTGCCGCTGAGCTGTTGATTGACGTGTCCTTAGCCCCGCCCCCACGGGTACTAGGCATGTCTTGTTGGGAGCGTAAAAAAGCCAAAAAGTGGGTCAGACTTGGCCGCCTCACGTGTATCAGCAGCTGCAGACGCGTCCATACTGCCATGCAAATTATACAACACGCACGTCACGCCTTCTCTCGACCAATCAGAGCAGACGCACAGGACGCGTAAACACAGACGCACATGGCTAGGCTGAGCGGTCCATGTGAGTCGGGAGACTGTAACCCACAATCTAGGGCATAACAACACAAGCCTGGCGCTGTTAACCTAGTTACAGTTCTCCTGCTGCAAATAAAGCAATAAAAGCCCAAACCACACCTCAATGCGCAGTAAACATTCACAGCATCACGTGCAACTACACGTTTCGGTGGCATTTATTAAAATAAGACTACACTGAAGATATCACCGCTTATACAGTCATATTCAAAGATAAGTGTAAAGCAGACTGATCTTACCAGCCTTTGTGAAATCCATGTCCTCCGACAGCTTAGAGCCGCAGTCAGCTGTGTGTTTGTGCCGTTTTCACTCAGTTTGCAGCAACTCTAGTCGCTGTGTGATCCGAGTATAACCACACACTACCTGAGGAACATTTCTAACTAAACCTACCAGATAATCTCAACCAATTAGCGCCGTGTTGCTTGAGAAAAAGAAGAAGCAAAAATCAAAACCTCAGGTGTCTTATAAAAATAATAGTAAATACACACGTCGGTTTTAGTTGAAATAATTAGACTCGTCCAAACTCTATAATAAAAACCGCACCGGCTAAAGAGGCTAGACCGGAGGGGTTCTGCGTCTAGTAAAGCGTCTGTGAGAGCTCAGCAGTGGAGACTGAGATGTGAATAAACGCAGAGTGGGAGTGCGCGTCTGCAGATCACGTGACCGGCTCCGCCCCCAGCTGCATTATAACCCACTGACACACTTCCACTGCTGCTGCGGGGCCTCAGCCCGGTGACCCCAAACACGGTTCCGTGGTCAGTAGCCTTTTTAAAGGGGTCATATGATGTTGCTAAAAAGAACATTATTTTGTGTATTTGGTGTAATGAAATGTGTTTATGCTGTTTAAAGTAAAAAAAAAAACACATTATTTTCCACATACTGTAGATTATTGTTTCTCCTCTATGCCCCGCCTTTCTGAAACGCGTCGATTTTTACAAAGCTCATCGGTCTGAAAAGCGAGGTGTGCTCTGATTGGCCAGCTATCCAGTGCGTTGTGATTGGCCGAATACCTCAAGCGTGCTTAGGGCCGCATTAGGACCTCAATGGGCCCCGGGGCTATGACTTACTGCAGGGCCCCCCGTCACAATAATGATTAACATAGGATTTTTATCCAATCAAAGTTTCATAATTCTTGTTACCAATTCCACTATCTCAAAATAAAAAAAATTTAATAAAAAAATACTAGCCTATGTAAAAACAAACTTACATAGAACAAAGAAATTGACCTACAAACACTTAAAGCACTGAATAAGAAATATATTGTATAAAATAAATAGACTAGAAATAGACTGAATAGTCTTCACTGTATAAATTCAATATACATTATTTTACAAAAGCGATTCGGTCAAGGACAGTGAGTGATTTTCTTTCTAATGTTTAATTTACATTATTGACACAAATGGCAAGAGCAGCTATATTAGGCTGCTTTGGAGGAATAGTTCACCCAAAAATTAAAATTATATTGTTGTTGTTCTAAACCTGAATGAGTTTCATTCTGCTGTTGAATGCAAACGTTGATGGGGCGACACGGAATGAAAAAGTTTTTTAGGAGTCGCGGCAGTAGAGGCGGCGCAACTATAACGACATGTGGATAATCCCGCCCACTCTAAAGCGGTACTAAACTGCAGTGGAAACGCAAACCGAGCCGTGCCGTGCCGTACTCAGGGCCGCATTAAGACCTCAATGGGCCCCGGGGCTATGACTTACTGCAGGGCCCCCCGTCACAATAATGATATAGCTTAACATAGGATTTTTATCCAATCAAAGTTTCATAATTCTTGTTACCAATTCCAATATCTCAACAAAAAAAAATACTAGCCTATGTAAAAACAAACTTACTGAAGACAAGTAAACAGTCATGAATTACAATAGAACAAAGAAATTGACCTACAAACACTTAAAGCACTGAATAAGAAATATATTGTATAAAATAAATAGACTAGAAATAGACTGAATAGTCTTCACTGTATAAATTCAATATACATCATTTTACAAAAGCGATTCGGTCAAGGACAGTGAGTGATTTTCTTTCTAATGTTTAATTTACATTATTGACACAAATGGCAAGAGCAGCTATATTACGCTGCTTTGGAGGAATAGTTCACCCAAAAATTAAAGTTATGTAGTTGTTGTTCTAAACCTGAATTAGTTTCATTCTGCTGTTGAATGCAAACGTATGTATTTGGAACAATAGCCTACTGGTAACCAAACAGTGTCTGTGCCCCCATGACTTCCATAGTACGGAGAGAGAGAAAAAAACAGGAGTCAACAGGGACCAGAAACTTTCTGGTGGTTACGAATATTCTTCAAAATATCTTCTTTTATGTTGAGGAGAACAACGAAATTCATACAGGTTCAGAACAACTTGAAACTGAGTAAATGATGACAGTATTTAATTTTTTGGGTGAATATCCCTTTAAAATCTCATCATATAATGCCAGGATCGCATAATAGCCAACTAGTGCACATGCTTTATCTTTAACGAATTGGTGGGTTTTTGTTAAATGTGAGCCAAAATCATCACAATTAAAAGAACCAAAGACTTAAACTACTTCAGTCTGTGTGCATTGAATTTATTTAATACACGAGTTTCACAATTTGAGTTGAATTACTGAAATAAATGAACTTTTCCATAACATTCTAATTTATTGAGATGCACCTGTATTTGGAACAATAGCCTGCTGGTAACCAAACAGTGTCTGTGCCCCCATGACTTCCATAGTATGGAGGGGAAAAAAACACTATTGGAGTCAACAGAGACCAGAAACTTTCTGGTGGTTACCCAAGTGTCAGAAACCGTCTTAACGCGTGCATTTGCCAAAATGAATTCTGTCCCACTGCTTAATGTCCCTGAACAGTTAAATTAGTTTTTAAACCAAAATGCTTAAAATGCTTTGCTCAAACACAAAAAGCACTATACATCTATCAAGTTAATAATCATTTCCATTTGCGGTTCCACAACTCCCACTCCATCATCAGCTTTAGTCAAATAAACTAGCTGTGGATTTTAGTGACTTCCCCTCTCTCTTCATGTTTTTCTCTCACTATTTTTTTTTTATTAGAATAGTTGACATTTTTACTTATCGAAGATTGCTCTTTGCATGACCGTTTCTAGATTACACCAGAATAGTGTTTGCAGCGCACCCCAAGTCAGAGACATTTACGCTTCTATTGAGGCATGAAGTAGCATAAATCTTTTGGTAGCCTTTTGGGGTGATCCACAAAAATAAATAAAAATAATACTGAATATACATGTAATACACTAGGATATATATTTTTTTTACATTTAGCAGACGTTTATTCAAGTCTCGGTTAGCCTAATACAGTGTAGCAAGGTTATTATTATTATATATGTGACCCTGGACCACAAAACCAGTCATAAGGGTAAATTTTTCAAAATTGAGATTTATACATCTGAAAGCTGCATAAATAATATCCTTTCCATTGATGTATGGTTTGTTAGGATCGGACAATATTTGGCTGAGATACAACTATTTGAAAATCTGGAATCTGAGGGTGCAAAAAAATCTAAATATTGAGAAAATCGCCTTTAAAGTTGTCCAAATGAAGTTCTTAGCAATGCATATTACAAATCAAAAACAATTTTTCAAAATTGGGATTTATACATCATCTGAAAGCTGAATAAATGAGCTTTCCATTGATGTATGGTTTGTTAGGATAGGACAATATTTTGAGATACAACTATTTGAAAATCTGGAATCTGAGGGTGCAAAAAAATCTAAATATTGAGAAAATCATCTTTAAAGTTGTTCAAATGAAGTTCTTAGCAATGCATATAACTAATCAATTGATCTATTTACGGTAGGAAATTTACAAAATATCTTCACGGAACATGATCTTTACTTCATATCCTAATGATTTTTGGCATAAAAGAAAAATGGATCATTTTGACCCATACAATGTATTTTTGGCTATTGCTACAAATATACCCCAGCGACTTAAGACTGCTTTTGTGCTCCAGGGTCACATATAGTGAAGTACATATGCAGTCTAAACATCTCAACCTCAAAGCCCAAAGAGAACAAGGGGAAACTACATGGTGTATATCATAATAACACATGCTGCTCATTCCAGCCGGTGAGTAAATACCTGCCTTTTCCTGCTCATCTACAAGCTCGCAATAAAGACACACCATGTGAGCATACAAAGGTACTTTATTTGAGTGAATGTACAGTTGCAGCATGCTGTGTTTAGCGGTAACGGTGCAGCTGCAGGGTGTTGCGTCTCTTCCAGGCCGCGTGCCGAGAGCCGCCGATGGTGAGGTGGAACTTGTGGCCCTTGCCCAAACCACGGCTCTTCTTGCCGGCAGACGTGAGCCCGCGCATTTCCCTGTGCTTGTGCACAGCCTTGGTGATCCACTGCGTGTCGGGGTTGCGTCTGATGGCTTTGTGGAAGGTGTCGATGAGGATCACTTCGAAGAACTTGTATGTGGAGTCTTCACCCACCCAGTAAGAGCTGAGCACCCGCAGACCTCCACAGTGACGGCCCGCACGCTCCTGAAAACACACGAGCAGCACGGATTAGAACCACACCAGAACACCTGAACATGAAATGCATGAGGACACGTGAACAAATGCACATGTCATTTTATGCAATTGGTTCCATTTATGAACATGCATGAGATAATTAATTAGGCAGAGGTGAGAAACTTCACCTAGACATCAAATAGTGCATACTGAAGCCATGGGGAATGGTCAAAATAAAACCATGTAAGACATGTGGTGACATCTGAATGCAGCAGAACAGAGTCTTGAGGACATACACGTTTAGGATGGAGAGGCAACATGGGAGAAAGCCAGTGCAGGGGGACCTCATTTAATTTCAGGGCTGTCAGTTTAACGCGTTAATTAGTTATGAAAAAATAACGTGATTAAAATATTTTAACGCAGTTAACGCACTGGCCCCGCCCCCAGACCCGTGCATCATCTTACATTTCATACAGTGGACTGCTGACGAATATGATGCAGGGCAACAACTCCATACATGCAGTTATGCCCTAAAAATTCAAGATATTGGTGCAAAAAAATGCCTCTGTTTTTGTCTCATTTATATCACATGAAAAGCGATATCACACGAGTGCAAATGTGATTTTATACAACAGTTCAGTAAATAAGTTAATATTGTGCTATATTTTAAACACAATTTTGCCAACGAAAATATTACCTAACAGCCACAGCAGAACTGTTGTGCGTCTCTGAGCAACACAGCGGTGTTTAGTTTCTGAGTGAATCCGAGTTTTGAACGAATCGTGTGAATCAATGATTCAGTAGCCCGTTCATAGAGCGAGTCGTTTACTGAATTCCTGAATGAATCAGCCGTTTGAACGAATCGACTCATGAAGACATTTACCGCCACCTGCTGGTTATTTTAGTTTCTTCTTTAGAGTACCATTACATTTATTTAAAGGGGTCATATGATGCTGCTAAAAAGAACATTATTTGGTGCATTTGGTGTAATGAAATGTGTTTATGCGGTTTAAGGTTCAAAAAACACATTATTTTCCACATACTGTACATTATTGTTTCGCCTCTATGCCCCGCCTTTCTGAAACGCG